ATTTAACAAGTGTAATGGTAAAACATTGAGTAAAAGATTTCTTTTACCTTCACTTCTTGTCGACAATAATCAACTAACGTGTAACGCACATTCTCTTCACTAGTTTTATAGAAAAATGTCATTGATTTTCATGAAACTTTTTGGAAGTTACTAGTTCAACCCTAAAATCACTTAATATGTGAATCACACGGAATTAAAAATTATCAATTAAAAGTAACAAGTCACTTTTTAATTGTTCATGATGTTTAGTCAATCAAGTCAATTTTATCCTATGTTGAATTGTCACAATAATAAATAGAGCAGTAATTAACACAAGATTTGATGATGGAGAAAACCCTAACAGGGTAAAAACTCCGGGACCAATACAGTAACTTTCTCTATAGACAATAAGAACTTACATTATGATCCACCCTAGAAAACCTACTNACAATAATAAATAGAGCAGTAAATAACACAAGATTTGATGATGGAGAAAACCCTAACAGGGTAAAAACTCCGGGACCAAGACAGTAACTTTCTCTATAGACAATAAGAACTTACATTATGATCCACCCTAGAAAACCTACTAGATTCGCTGATCTAATTCTTACAATCTCCAAGACCCACTAGAACGTGATACACCCATACCTACTCCCAATATTCTGAAATTGTCTTTCTACTGTAGATCACCAAGAACACCTTATTTTTGTACTCTTCATGTGCTTGCAGTCCAACCTCCTTCAATCTTAGCAACTTTTGAAAGCTATTGAAAAAGTACATTCCTGATGATATCTAGGAAGTGGGTGTTTTGGATTATTTGACTTTAATATTTTTTCCAACTTGTAGTTGATTGATCTTAAGAATCAAAAGTTTAATCTCAATATTTGGATGTTTTCTTGGATCTTGGAATGATATTATGAAGATGTAATAATGATCTACCACACACAAAAATGTACTGAGTATTAGGTATTTATAATAAGATGTATTTATTTAGTATATGATAAATAGAACTCTTGAAAAATGCAAATTAGGATTTCTTTGAAAATATCGCCGCTTGAGCGCTACGCTAGCGACATGAAAGTGAGAGGTGTGTCGCTCGAGCGATAAGCGTGCAAAAATAATTCTATTTTTTTTTCCGTTCGAGCATCAGTTATGTGACATGCTAGCATAAATCCGGTAACTCGTTCTCCTTCTTCCATACTCGAACCCAAAAACTCTTAGTTTTTCTAAAGAATCATTTTACAACTCTTTTATAACAATCATTTTGTCTAAAAAATTGTCAATACAACATAAATCCTAACAATCTCCCCCTTTGACATTTTGTAACAGAACTATACAATGCAAGTCAAGAATGTAAAAACAAACTAATCTACCCAAACTCAAATTGAATGTCTGTCTGTTGCATTCCTTGAAACCTGTTCTTGTAATCAACAACTCAAATACTAAGTGTAGAAGCATGTGATACAATAAATATAATAGTTGAAACATAATATCATAAATATACTAGCTAGATTGAGAAGCAATACTAATGTTAATCAAAACATGAGTTAATTAAATCACTGCTCACTCACATTTGGGCATGGTTACTACTTGCTCACTTAAGAATAAAAGGTAACTGACTGCTCACTCATTTTTGTATAAAGTTATCCATCCATCACTCCATCCATCCACTTAGATAAAAAATTACAGGTGGCGGATGGAAATCCTATGTGGCCATTAACGGTGTTAAAAATTGTCACATGGACAAAAGGTTCAAAATCCTTTATTTTACACTGCAAAGTGGTGTTGAAAGAGGATACAGAAGAAGCACCAAAAATACATCTACTCTCTCACGCACAAGCACCCTCACAACTGTGTGTTAAAATAGAGAGAAATATATAGAAATAGGGAGAATTGCAGGCTTTAATTTCATTTCGAATTCATTTTATTTTCATTTCCCACTATTTCTTTCTTTAATTTCAGCATACCGATATAGATCTTGTTGTTTGGTATATGTGTATGTATAATATGAACATATATGAAATAAAATTATTGGAAAATGCCGGGCATAAAATTATTGCGGTTTGGTATATATTTTTTGGTTTAAATTTCTAGAAATTATTGGGAAATGCCGGGCCACGGGGATTTGGACAGGCAAATAGAGCAATTGATGGAGTGCAAGCCGCTGTCAGAGGTGGAGGTGAAAACTCTGTATGATCAGGCGCGGGCGATTCTGGTGGAGGAATGGAATGTGCAGCCGATGAAATGCCCCGTTACTGTCTGCGGTGACAATCATGGCCAGTTCTATGATCTGATCGAGCTATTCAGAATAGGCGGCAACGCTCCTGACACCAATTACCTCTTCATGGGAGACTATGTCGGCGAGTTTTTCCTTGAATTATTGGGCGAAAAAGAGGTTTCTTGTTTTGTGTTTGTAGTATACTCTCGACCTGGATGCTGGAGTTATCTATTTGGAATTGATAGAGGTTTCTTATTCAACACTATACTGTGATAAGGCGGTGGAGGTGGAGGTGAAGGTGATGGTGGGGATGAATGATGATGATGGTGGACAACGATTATTCCAATTTTTAAGAGAAAAAAACGTGTTTTCTGGAATGTGTTTTGTCCATGTGTCAATTTTTAACATCGTTAATGGCCACGTAGGATTTCCATCTGCCACCTGTAATTTCTTTGTCTAAGTGGATGGATGGACAACTTTATACAAAAATGAGTGAGCAGTCAGTTACCTTTTATTCTTGAGTGAGCAAGTAGTAACCATGCCCAAATGTGAGTGAGCAGTCATTTAATTAACTCATCAAAACACCAACTGAAACATTAATATCACAAAATATCAAAACTCAAAAAAGTTAAGCATGAAATACTATCATCTCTTTGAATACTATCATCTTCCCCTTACTGTAAGCTCTCCAAATTTAAAATTAAAATGCAAAATGCCAAATTAAAAAGCAAAATGTCACTCTCTCCCTTTTTGTCACAAACGACGAAGGGAATTATATAGACAATATATAATAACTCAAAGATGGAGTTCATAGCATGCACAAGTATAATCAATGATTAGTAAACTTTCCCACATACTCAATTCAAGTCTAAATGAAGTAAATTATATAAGTGACTCATGTGTGTTAAGTGTCATTAATTCTTTGTGATCAAGACTTCAAACATTAAATTTGTGAGAAAATATATGCTAAATATCACAGTTAAATAAGTTTATTCCCCTACTAATGAAAGTCAAACCAATAATGCATATTAGGACTTATAAATAAAGCTCATTTTTCATGTATATTTTTATTTTCTCCCACTGACTTTGATCGTATGTATATATTTTCGCACAATTTATATTTTTCTTTTTAACCTCATCATTTTTCACTTCAATTGTTCACATCTTATGTGCAGACTCTTCTCCATTAAATGACTAAGATGACCCATGTAATGAGTTTTGTGTCGATGACTCCAAATCAGTTGACCATGGGCATCATGTAATGAGAAACTCCTCGGACTTAATTATTCGAGTCAAATAGGCTTCTAAGTATAAAATGAGATATTTTTTATTTTATTTAAGGGGATATACTAGAGTTTAGGTTTCCTAAATTAAGGTCGATCCATATTCAAAGCCACATTACTAACAGATGAAGACTATCTCAAATCTTACACACACGGTAAAGACTTGCTAACAAAATCATAGTGTGTGCAGTGTAGATGGTACATAAAGAAATCTATACTAAGTACTCCATATAAACCTAAACAAAGTAATAAAAATGTGTTACAACACATCAATTAAACTCATATTTGGTCACAACACACATGTTCAAGTAAATCATATATCAAGTTGTAGTAAAAAAATTTCCTCTTTTTTTATTTTTCAATTTTTTAAAATTTTTTTATTTTATTTTAAAAAGTATCAAACTACTTAAAAAGTAAAATAAAAAAAAAATGAGATGCATGCAATAATGAATTAATCAATTAAAAAATAAGCATGGATCAAAAGTATTTAATCAATTAGGTATACAAACGCTTACCTTTAAGAGAACCGTGATGAATTTCTAATTTTTCTAGATCACTCTTTTTCACCCAAACCTGACTAGTGGAAGACTTATCCGGAGTCAATTCTATCGTAAACTTGTTCAAATTACTTACTTGATTAGTAAGGAAGTCAATTCGACCATCACAATCCCGATTTCTAACTCTAGTGAAATTTTGATTTCTATTTCTATTCAAGAATTTATGACACAAAGACCTTATATGTCCTAATTCACCACAATTAAAATAGGTAGGGATAAACCTAGGTCCAAATTTATGTGGTCGTTGATATCTCTTCCTATGTTGATAGGTCCTACACTGTCTAGTAGGCATTTGTCCTACGATAACCTTGTTCTTGAGTTCGAGATGAGGAACATGTGTAGATTGGTTGGCGGTAGGGATAAAAATGGTTTTGAAAGTACTGACCCTATTATGATCGGTCTGATTATATCCTAGGCCTCCATTGTTCCCAGGGAGCTTGGTCAAATCCAAAAGATTGTCCAATTTTGAGATCCACTAGAGAAAGCAAGAAGTTGAGAGACTTGGAATCTTCAAGTTCGCTCAGAAGGTTCTTAACTTGGATTTCTAATTTCTCATTCTCAACTATCAGCTCACTAACTCTCTTAGAGGACTTCTCAAGTTNNNNACTCTCTTAGAGGACTTCTCAAGTTCACCTATAATATCTTTAATCTTAGATTATAAGGATCGATTTACAGGATCTAATTTGTTGAGGCACAAAGCGGGCTCCTGAAGGTCAGTTACAAGTTTTTCTCTAACTAACTCAAGTTCATAGACCTTTTTAAGTACAACTTTATTCACCTTCTTAATCTTAAGACTCACTTCAAAATTTTTTTTATAAGTCTCACGAATCTCATCATCATTTTAAGAATCTTTCTCAGATTGCTCACCATCTATTTTATCAATCTTCTCAATGTCCTTAATAGATTCACTTTTAATCCTAACAGTGAATGTCATAAACTCCCCACTCTCCTCATGTGTAAACATTTCACTTTGATTATCCGAGCTAGACTCATCATCAGTGGGAGTTGCATTCATAGCTTTACCCTGATTTCTTTTACCATTAGGATACTCACTTTTATAATGGCCAAAACCTTGACACTTATAACATCTCACATATTTAGATATCTTTCTAGACTCACTGGAATCTCCTCTATGTCTCTTTTTAGTCTTCTTATTTCTAAATATTTTTTNAAACGCTCTTACCTTTAAGAGTATCGTGATCAATTTCAAAAAATTTCAGATCATTCTTTTTAACCTAAACATGTCTAGTGGAAGACTTATTCCGAGTCAACTGTGTCATTGTCTTGGTCAAATGACTCACTTGATTAGTAAGGAAGTCAATCCGACCATCAAAATCCTGATTTCTAATTCTAGTGAAATTCTGATTTCTATTTTTATTCAGGAATTTATGACACATAGGCCTTATATGTCTTAACTCGCCAAAATTGAAATGAGTAGGAACAAACATATGTCCAAAGTTATGTGGTCGTTGATATCTATTCCTAGGTTGGTAGGTCCTACACTGTCTAGTAGGTCTTTGTCTTACGATACCCTTGTTTTTGAGTTCGGGATTAGGAACATACATACACTGGTTGATGGCATAGATAAAATTGGTTTTGGAAATGCTAGTCCTATTATGATCGGTCTGCTTATATCATAGACCTCCCCTGTTCCCAACAGGTTTGTTCAACCCCAAAAGACTGTCTAGTTTCTGAGATTCGCTAGAGAAGGCATGAAGTTGAGACTAGAAATATTCAAGTTCGCTCATAAGGTTCTTAATCAGGATTTCTAATTTATCATTATCACTGGCCAGCTTACTAACTTTCCTAGAGGACTTCTCAAGTTCACTTATAAGACCCTTAATATTAGATTCTATGGATTAATTCATAGTATCTAGTTTATTGAGCTACTAGGTAGACTCTTGAAGGTCAGTGACAAGTTTCTCTCTGACTAGCTGAAGTTCATTGACCTTCCTAAGTACGACTTTATTCATCTTCTTAATCTTAAAACTCACTTTAAATAATTTTTGATAAGTCTCACGAATCTCTTCCTCACCTTCCTCATCTTCCTCAGATTGCTTACCATTATTTACTTCCTCAACCTTCTTACTATCCTTATCAGATTCACTTTAATCCTAGTAGTGAATGCCATAAACTTCATATTCTCCTGATGAGTAAAAATCTCACTTTGATTATCCGAGCTACACTCGTCATCAGTGAGAGTTGCATTTATAGCTTTACCTTTATTTTTCTTACCATTAGGACACCCACTTCTATAGTGGCCAAAACTTTGACACTTATAACATTTCACATATTTAGATCTCTTTCTAAACTCGCTAGAATCACCTCATTTTCTCTCTTTAGTCTTCTTATTTCCAAACATTTTTTGAAAATTCTTAACAAAGTACGTGATTTCCTCATCATTAAATGATTTCGAATCAGAAGAATCATACTCTTCTTCCCCAAAAGTGTTCAAGGCTATAAACTTGTTCTTCTTAGGTTGAGATATGATAAGTTCATAAGTTTAGAGAGATCCACCCAATTCTTCAATTTTAACATCATCTAGATCCTTGCTCTCCTCAATAGCTGTAACTTTAGGCCTAAATCTCTCAGGTAAGGATCTCAAGATTTTTCTGACAATCTTAGGCTCAGGGATTCTCTCATCTAAGTTAAAGCTAGAATTAATTATGTCATTCAAGCTCGCTTAGAAACCATCGAAGGTCTCATCATCCTAATCTTTTCAAACATAGTGTTCAACATCTGTAACTTAGAAATTTTAACAGCCCTAGTTCCCTCATGTGTGGTCTGTAAAATATCACAAACCTCTTTAGTAACCTTACACATAGACACACACATAAATTCTTCAGGTGATACACCATAAATAGAGCATGAAACCCTTTACTATTCCAATTACACTCATCTAAATCTTTCTTAGACGAAGTTGAAATATGAGTACGGGTAACTACACCTGCAACCATGGTAGATGGGGCAATCCAACCATTCACTACGCTAAACTAAATACGATGATCCATAGATTTCAAGGAGGCTCTCATTCCCACTTTCCAATATGCATAGTTACAACCATCAAAATATGGCGGGATAGATAATGAACTACTCGTATAGAAAACTAGGGTTAGGAATCGAATTTGGGCTCTGACACCACTTGAAAGTTACTAGTTCGACCCTAAAATCACCTAATAGAGGAATAACACAGAATTAAAAAATATCAATTAAAAGTAATAAGTCACTTTTTAATTGTTCTAGATGTTTAGTCAATTTTATCCTATATTGAATTGCCACAATAATAAATAGAGCAGTAACTAACACAAGATTTGATGACGGAGAAAATCCCTAAATGGATAAAAACTCCAGGACCAAGTCGTAACTTCCTCTATAGATAATAAGAACTTACATTATGATCCAGCTTAGAAAACTTATAAGACTCGCTGATCTA